TTTTTTAAATTTGTGATAATGCACAAAACTTGAAGGCTTATGACAGCGCAATTAAAAATATTAAAATATTATTCTTAAAAAAGCAAAAATGGGAGTATGCACTTTTTTGTTTTGAAATCATCAAATTTTTTGCTTCGGCAAAGGACTAAAAAATGGCCAAAAAACCGTGATGCTGTGAAAAGTATTTTAATTTAACTCAAAGTACATAAATTGAACTCAATAAACACAAAAAATAGGATAGATCACGCTGTCTCAATATATATATTCATAGAATAATATATATATTACATATATTCATAAAAAGTATATATTCATAGACTGTCTCAGCTAAAATAGCTTTTTACAAATAACAAAAACAAAAATCGCTTGCAAATCTTTTCTCAAAACCTGGCTAGAATCACTTATCGATAAAGTAACCTTCGACAATGGGATGCCCGTAGTGTGGGTATCTCGATCCTGATTGATTGCTGAAAGGGGGCATTTGTTTACGTTAGCAACTTTTTTCCCATTCTATTTCGAATAAGCCTAGCTCGTCAAGTATCAATTTTCTTAAGTGATACATTCTATATTCTTTCACAAAGATTTTAATTCTTTCATTATATTTTCTTTACTTAGCACAAAGACACACGCAAAGCCATGTAGAACATAAACAAACTAATTATGCATCGACGTTTGCCAGGTGCTCACAGCAAAAAACATATCAAGGTTACAATAAAATACATAAACAAATATTAAATCTAACTTAATTGAAAGACGTAGACAAGAAAGAATTATATTTTAACAAATTCCATGCGCGATATGGAGCTGTATTTAATTAAAGTCGGGTTAATTAACATTCTAACTTATGGGGAGAAACTTAGCTCGACTTTAACACGCTATTTTGATTATAAGCGATCAGATGGCGCTGACGTCATAGGTCACATGTGTGGGTATCCTTGATCGTATTCCTCTTGAAGTGCAAGTACCCAATTATTAAGGAACGTGTGAAAAGTTCTTTTGATAATCGTTTTAAATAATTTTGAACTTCAAGTCAGCAAACATCAAATAAGTACTTGCAAATGACGTCATCGTCAGTAAATCGTAGCTTATGTCGATTGAAAAGCCAATCAAATTCGACATCCAAATAAATCTGATGATTTTGATTTAAATCCCAAGGTTAAGTACAATCACTTCACTTCTTCTCGACCTGAAACTACCCAATTATGTTATCATTTAAATATTTAGAAGGAAAAAAAAAAACGTCTGCAGTTTGATTTATACTTATGGCTAGTTCTAAGCAAATAAAAGAATTCTATTTATCAAACATATCTTTCGATTGATTTATTATTGAAATTTTTGAACGATTTTTAGGATCTGGGACAAACATTGCCCCTCGCTGCCGATGTCCAAATTTCAGGATGATAGAAGAAATGGTTCTGGAGTTAGAAGAGAGACACGCGGATAAACACTTCATTTTATTACTATAGATAAGAGTCGAAAGGAGACTTTTTGAAAATTTCCTATTTTCAAATCACTGACTAATCTTTACTAGAAAATAGGCTCATTCGTCAGAAGTTCAGAGTTCATTTAAAAACATTTTCTCGTATGTTAGAGTTCTTTATTGTCACGTAATTCATTAAGGTTAAAAATTTTGAAATGTTGATATCATCTCTGTTTCGCAGTGAGTGAGGCCTCTCAAACGCTATATTTTACACCCTACTTTACGAAATCATTTACGGGTGTATTAAAATTCAATGACCTTCCAGAAAAACATTAAAACTGGCCACAAAAATCTTGGCTGACGATGGGTGGGTGTCGAGAGAAGGTTGTGCAAGAATTCTTTTTCTGTAAGAGGAAAGAAAAAAAAACTTAATTAAGAAACAACAAGTTATGAATTTTTATTAACTCTCCTTCGATGGTATATGGGTGTCGTAAGGAGGGTGGAGATTTTAAAATCTCCCAATCGATTTCTTTGAGATTTGCATGCATTTCCAATGATCATATTTCACGAAGGCTGGCTAACAAGTTGATTTAAGCAGGTGCCCATGACTTACATGAGGAATTAGTTATTAGAAATGATATATTTATGTATCATTGTGCAACCTCCACCGTTATTTTCTAATTAAGTTTAGAGATAACAATTAACAATTCAATCACGTTCTCCTAAAAGTCAAGTAAATCATTCAAACTTCTTATTTTTTTGTAGCTATTTTTTTTTCTGAAGACTATTTTTATTCGCACTACTTAATTTATGTTAATATTTAAAAAACGGGAATTAAAAAGCGGTAATCATAAATTAGCCAGTGCCTTTCACATGTTTGAAACGAAGAGACGAAATAATTATTAATTTTTATACATTTTTTTTTAAAAAAAATTGAAAATTAATTTTCAAACTCACGAAAAACTTTTCTTGTTATGATTGATTGGTAATGATTTTTCTCTCCATTAATTATCTCGACATGCGTGCATACTTTTCTCATATTATTCTTATTGATTTCCATCTTTTTATTTTACTACTGTCTTCCATAAAAAAAAAATATTGAACATAATTTTGGGAGAACTGATTTTTTTAATAGGTGTCTCTTACTTGACTGACAGTTTTTCTAGTATAAATTATCAATTGTAAATTTTGTAAAGTTTTTCGAAGGGCCGTGCTCAATGCTAACAGATGATTAATTTTATTGCAAACTTTACACTGACAGTAATTAGAGACAAATAGTACCTTTTTTAAAGAACGGAAGCACTTAAAATTTCTTGAATAACAAAAGTTCACATTTTTATCGAGAGCCTTAGTAAGCAAATAAACAAATAAAGCAAAGCACAAAACAAAGAAAGTTCTTTTTTTTTTTTTTTTTTTTTTTTAAATAATCACGCTCAACTGATTCTCCTATAAAAACAATTATTTTATCTAAACTACTGATGCTCAAAAAAGTACTTTTATTGTAAATTATAGCTTGTACAAATGCTGTATTAAAATAAATAATAGACATTTAAAAAAAGAAAAAATACATTGATTACAACCATTTGAAACATCATAAGATTTTTATAATAAACTAGGTTCATGAATCCACATGATCAATAGTCAATAATTTCTATATTTTTTTTTTTTTTTTTTGAATCATCATTTTGCTTATATTTACCATTGAAATTTTATATACAATTTTATTTTTAAAAATGCTTCAGTTATATATTCATTATAAATTCGCCAAATGTTTTTCGCACAAAGAGATTATTTAGTAATTGTGCGATGAATTAATTTTCTTAATATATTTTAAAACTTTTGCATTCACTATTCAAGATGGATATGTTGAATAAGCATAGTTTTAGATAAAAAAAAGTATTATAAAAGCACTTATTTATTGTTCAATAACTTTAAGATGGTAGAAATGTTGCGTTATAATACAATATAAGATAACTTTATAATAAAAGAAAGCTGCTTCTAGTTTAAAGCCTTTTGCTTGAAATAATTTTCAAAATTAAAAACTCAGCAATAGCAGATAATAATACTATACTGAGAAATGATGTTAAATCAATATTATAATATTATAGGTAAAAATCGTTAAATAAAAGATCGAAAAATGCATGACAGATTAAAAAATACCTTCATAACTTTTACTAATTCTATGCTGATGACAACCAAAAAGATTTTAATCGTTTTTTTCTTCTTTTTATTACGGAATTAATAAGGAATCATACTATGTGATTTTCTGGCAAATAGGAAAAGTTGTTAAACACCGCGTGCGCGTTTTCTAGCTTTTGTTATCCTCTGTGAGTTCATTTGATTTGTTGAAAAGTTTGTTATATATTAAGTTGATGATCTGTAAATTATTCGAAGGGTTCATTGATGGTATTGAAGAACACTAAAAAATAATAAGAATAGAATAGAATTTTAGATTTCCAAAAAAAAAGAAGGACAAGAGTACAGACTCTTGAATAGAACGCTTCAAAGAATACTCAATCACAGAAGAAAGTATGAACCTGCATTATATTCTATAAAAACTAAATTTTCTTTAATTGTTTTGTTTATTTATATTTATTATTATTATTATTATTAATTTGGTCTCACTGAAAATTTTTTATTCGCATATTTCAAAGTAGTTAAATCTCTTTAAAGCATTCCGTGATGGGAGTTGATATAATTATTTCAAAGTTAGTTTCTTACGTCTGGCAGGGTCGAAACTTGACATTTTTGATTTTGTTGAAATTTTCGTGTTATGTTCTTTATGTAAAACTGTTATATATATGATATTTTTTTACTTTTACTAAAAAACTTTTTCTCAAAATTTTTAAAGGTGAAAACTGACGATCCTTCAGAAGCGCACTATTTACTTTCACTTTACGTTACACTTTTTGTGAAATGAGTGACCACGGCATTAAGCATTGTCTTATGTTCAACTACTTCCAAATTACTTTTTACGATACAAATACTTTCAGCAGACCTTTGCATCTAAGGTCATTCAAAAATCTTCGGGAAAAAAAGGCTATTTTGTTAAACTTAACAGCTGGCACAAGTAGATTTTCACTGTCAAAACCTTAGAAAATAGCCTTTTTTCGAAGATTTTATTTTTGTCATAATAGTTTTATCTTAACAGTTAGTATGGGGGTAGTAGAAGGCAAAATATTGCTCAGTGTCGTGGTTCACTCATTTCATGAAAATTATTACAACAAGTAAATAGATGGAAGTTCCTGAGGATTTTCAGTTTTGCCAAACCCCCTCCCGAAACCATCAGAATTTTTTTTCTCGCAAAAATAGAAAAAGTACGTGTTTTATAGTGTTACATATAAAGCATATCCTGAAAATTTAACAAAATCTAAAATATCTAGTATACAACCTTACCTGATTTGACCGATTTTTAAAAACACTCGCTCTTTCTTATGCACGAATAAAATTTCCCAATTTGGAGAGTTTTTCCCAAATTTTAAATTATTTTGTTAAAATTTTGTACTTTTTCTTAATTTGGAAGATTTGATATTAAATTTCCTAATATTGTTGAAGTTTATGAGAAATTTTTTTTTTACAGGTCTGCCAGGAATGTGGAACAATGCAATCATTCAATACATGCAAACAATCATGAAAAGTTGTTGAAGGTGGCCATGGCATTCCTGCTTGTCTTCCTCATGGTGGTTTTGCGCTGTGGTCTGATTTCCACAGAATATTTGCAAGAGTTTGAGATTTCGGAAGGTCTCGAAGTAGGAACAACTATAGGTTTCATTGGTCATAGTCGGCCAGAGATACCACCGCCTCCTTATTTGATTGTTCCGGTGCCCGGGAGTGCTGTGGATTCTGATCTCCAGATTGACCAATCCACCGGTGAAATTAAAAGCAATAAAAATTTAGATCGTGAAGTTCGGAGCTATTATTCTTTTGTCGCTATTCCACTCAGTGGTGAGAATATTCGAGTGGAAATTAAAGTCACTGACGAGAATGACAACGCTCCCACGTTCCCTGTTCCTTTCATGAACATTGAGTTTCCCGAAAATACTCCCAGGGATATGAAAAGAACGCTTCATCCCGCCAAAGATCTAGATCTGGGTGTTTATAATACCGAAAGGTATGAGATCGTTACTGGGAATAAGAACAACGCGTTTCGTTTGTCGTCTCATCGTGGGCGGGACGAAGTTCTCTACTTGGACCTGCAAGTCAACGGATTCTTGGATAGGGAAACAACTCCATTTTACAGCCTCGTCGTGGAAGCTTATGATGGCGGGACACCGCCACTCAAAGGTTCGATGACAGTCAATATAACTATCGAAGATGTGAACGATAATCAGCCTATTTTTAACCAAAGTCGATATTTTGCCACGATCGCCGAAAATGCCACTCTAGGTACCAGTGTCCTTCGCGTGCTGGCAACCGATACAGATATAGGAGAAAATGGCCGAATAACATATTCTATCAACCGCCGGCAAAGCGATCGTGAAAATAAATTTGCTATCGATTCCAAAATGGGCATCATAACAGTGAACAAGCCTTTGGATTTTGAATCCAAAGTAGTTCACGAGCTGGTGATTGTCGCTCGAGACAACGGACAAGAATTCTTCCTGGAAACGACGGCTTTCGTGTCCATTCATGTCATTGACGTAAACGATAACCAGCCCACCATCAATCTCATTTTCCTCAGCGAGGACGCGTCCCCCAAAATATCGGAGGATGCGCGCCCGGGAGATTTTGTTGCAAGAATCAGTGTGAATGATGCCGATTCGAAAGAGGAATACGCAAACGTCAATGTTACCCTTCAGGGAGGCGAAGGATACTTTGGATTAACAACACAGGATAGCATCATTTATTTAGTGATAGTGTCCCATCCCTTGGATAGAGAAGTCAAGCCCAACTATACCATGGTTGTCACGGCAACGGATCAAGGCAATCCTCCTTTAAACACGTCTCGGACGTTTGATTTGTGTGTTACGGATACCAATGACAACGCTCCCGAATTCGATCACACCATGTATTATGCAAATGTTTTGGAAGTTGCTGATCCCGGTACCTCAGTATTCCAGTTGTCGGCGGTCGACCGGGACGAAGGCAACAATTCGGTCGTGTCTTATTCCATCAAAGACACGCCTGAAACGAATTCCCAGTGGTTCGAGATTGACAGCCGGACCGGCCTAATAACAACCCGCATCCACATTGACTGTGAGACAAATCCGACGCCGCAAATCACGGTCGTTGCCACTGATAACGGTGTACCACCCCTCTCTTCGAGTGCGACAGTCCTTGTCACCATCAGTGACGTGAACGACAATGAACCCATCTTTGATCAAAGTTTTTACAATGTGACAGTCGCTGAGGATGAAAGTATTGGATCCTGCTTCCTGAAGGTAAGATTTATACTTTCATTATTTTGGAATGTTCATTTATCATGGAATTCGTTTCACTCTCTGGCACTAAACCATCACATTTGACCCTTATCCATAAGGTCTTATTTGATGATAGTTGCAAAATTCATACCTGTTTTCTAATTTCATTAGAACACCTCTTTTTCGCTTTCTCGATCGTTTATGTCATTAAGATACCAAATTGTTGCAAATCCCGTGACTGTCAGCTCTTCGAGTCATATGGTCAATTCAAAGCATTTATTTTTCTCTATAGCTTCGAAAACTTTTCTCGTACTTGTCAACCTTTTGCCATGCTTATTTTTGTTCTAAAGTCCTTATGTTGATCTGCTTATGAGAACCTAAGTCTCTGATGCCTGTCTCTAGTATTATTTAAATGCAGTAAGATGCCACATTTCCTGACTGTGGAGGAAATGATATTTGCTTTTGGTCTTTAGTTTGACAGTTTTAAGTGCAATATACACTGATCTTTCGTGCAAACTAGAGTTACAAAAATAAAATGAAAGGACTCACACGTGGGTCACTAAAATGACCACACTCTTTACTGTCAGTTTTAGTTTCTTTTTCAATTTTTATTCATCGATTAGTAATAGTTTCAGAAGAATTCCCTTTTATTCACTTAAAACTCATTTTATATCAAAAATTTTAGTAACTTTGTTTATAATGAATTATATCTTTAGAGAGGAAAATCTTTTTCTTTTAATAAAGGTGTAAAGTTTGAGATACAGTTATTCATCATCGTGAAACCCATTTAGTTATATTCCATTTCAACGCACAATGTCATAGGACCAGCTGCTCCCAAATGGTGGTCCACATCCCAGAACCCTAGGGTTCCACGAGTTATTACTTTTTATAACCAGTGATGAGTTTCAAAAACTCTGGTAATTTATAGATCCATCCTATAATTCATAATTTATTTAATCTTTCGGTTGCCTTAAGGAAATTACTTTAAGTAAAATGCCAATGAAATAGAAATGGTATTTTTGAAAAGAAAATGTAATATTTCTATTAAAAATATATTCTTTTCGGGAACAAATTATGAAAAGAACAAGCATATATAAAATATTGCATAGTATTTCCTATCGCGCTTTTCATATCAAAATAAAATAACTAAATTCTTTAATAAAGAAATACTTTTCCTTATAACTATTTTCAACGTTTATAAGAGTTCTTTTAAATTATCCATAACCATAATTAAAACCATAAGTAATTATAACCATAAGTAAACCATAATTTGGCTTATTTTATTCGCCTTCAGGTTGCGCATCAAAAGCAAATTCATAGCTAGACTAGATATAGCACAAAGACTGCAAATTCAACTGTCGGCCATAAAAACTAATTAAAGATTAATAATGATAAGACAATGAAAAATCCCTACTTCTCTTATTAAATATTTTAAAAATGGTCTTTTCTAGATTATAATGTTCACAAACCTTAAAAAACTTTACTTAAAAAGTCGGGGTTCCTTCTAAAGAAAGTTGATTATTTAGCGTTCCATAGTCGAAGAAAATCGGGAACACTAGACTCATCAAGTGTGTATGAAAATCTGTATGCCAAATAATGCTTTTTTTAATAATTTTTTTAAAATAAATTAATAAGTTTTATTCGGTTTGTTTTTTTTCGGCCGTCAGTCAACCTTCTTGTAAAAAATATTTTATTATTCCAAAATTTCATGAAAAGTATTTTAGTTCTGGATGCTTTCTAAAAAATGACACGAACACTATGTTTCGAAAGCAATACATATGTTCGAAACACCCCCAATCGAGAGTCATGTGTACTCCAGAAAATGCCTTCTCGTAGAAACAAAATGTGCTTACAAAAATGTTTCAATTCAAGTTTTTTTTTTTCTTCTTTTTCCACGAATAAAAGTCCTCCCTAAAGTTGATAATAATTTGTTATTTGTCAGATCACTTCCAACCAATGGGAAGTCTCCCTGGGCCATAAGTGTGGAAAGCAAGAAAAATAATAATAATATTAAAGAATAAAAAAGAAGAAGAAGAAGGGGCTCGCGTCCATTAATAATATTATAATCGTTTTTCCTTGAGCAATAATTACCTCCGTCTGAGTCGTGACTCCTGCTACTGGATGATCTCGCAACAATCATCATCAACCGATTTTTCTTCTTCTTTTTTGCATAACTTTAAAATGCTACTGTTCGAAACAAATATTTTGTTTGTAGTTAAAACTTCATGGAATTTCGAATGCCCTGTGATGCTTATCTCGAATTTCTTTTTTAAAAGAGATAGTTTATTTTATTTATTTATTTTATTTTTCTTCGAATTTCTTCCGATCGATTGTATTTTTTTCGAAAAAGTCCATTCAACAAATGGTTATAACTCCTTAAGACATTTTGATTCGGTTACCAGCACTCTGTGATCATTTTGTTTCACTTCCGGTTAGATGGATAAAAGATACTTCAACTGCCGTCATCATTTTTGAAAAGTTATTTCTGCTGTATATTTGTGCGTGCCTTGGTTAACTGTGTTCTTCGCTAGCTCTTTCGCAAGGAAAATAAAAGAGCAACAGTTTTAAGCACTTGAGAAAAAGCTATAATCTTAAGCTATCAATACCATCTTGTCGCAAAGAATGTGAGCTTTAAAACGAACAAATAGCTCAAATATTTTTTGAAAAAATCATTAAAGCTTTAGAAAACGTTAATTTGGCAGGATTTCCCCATGCAAATAAAAATTATCAAAATCAATGAATAAGTATGATTTTTTAAAACATTTTTATGAACCCTGATAGTGCAGCGCTAGAGCAACTTTTTTAAATATTAAAAAGTTAGATTACAAATTCTTTTAATTTTAAGAAAACTATGGTTTTTCTTCACGGTGACGTTTAGCGCCATTTTCAAATACAGCCTAGTGGGTGATGGCTAGGAAACTGTACTTAACAGTCATGGCACAAAACCCAAAACAGCTGATATACACCCTTAGAACACATAAAACATAATTTTCCTGCTGCATTTATCACATTTACACATTTTTTTTTCTATTCACGTTATTATACACCATGGCTGATGTTTGATGTCATTATCGATGTCAAACGAACAGGCAAGTAAGGCATTTTTTCGAATAGATATATATTACAAACTGTTTAAAAAATAAAATAATAAATTTAAAAAAAATTGTGCATTGCAAAAATGACGATATAAGAGCATGATTCTACTTCTTTTTGTTGGTTTAAATTACTATAAAATGCAAAATTATTCTCTGAAAATTTCATCAAAACTCAAATTCCTGTTATGACTATCAAATAGATTGATGGTCAAATGATTGATCAATAATCGATCAGTGAATAGGCAAGTAAAGTACTTTCGTCGTACAGGTACTTTCGTCGTAAATTTAGACAATTTAAATCCAGTCAAAAGGTATTGTACAGTCCGCAAAAAAAAAAAAATATCTTGAAGAAATTCTCCAATTTAATTTTTTGAAACCACTCATTTTGGACGAAAATACTTACACACACATTTGTAAATTTTAAATGTAAATATCTATTCTCTGGTGGTTGCAGCAGACAAACCTCAATTTTGTCATTGAACATTTTGCGTGCTACCATGTAAGTTTTAATATCAACCTTTTTAAAGTTTTATATCTTAACAACTAGATATCTGTTGCACATTAATTGTTTAATACATGGGTGCACATTAAAGTTATTGTAGTCCGAAATTTTTAATCTGCAATTAAATATTTTTAAAAATCTACTTCTTATTTTAATTTGTAATTCAATAATTTTGTTTTATGCAACTTGGTAAAAATCTGACAGTAATATTTAATGTTCCTTCAAATATAAAAGAGTACTACATGAAATTTTGATAAAGTTGCGGTCCGCCATTTGATTTGTGATTTTAATTGTGGCCCCCGGCCACATGCAAGTTGGAAACCCCTGAGCTAGACTATCGTTGCCATTTTTTAGATATCACATGAAGCTTGTTGCAGATGACCTCCATGTTATTTAGTGATACAAGAAAGAAAATTTGTGTTATTTGTTTTTATTGCATTCATTAGGAAAATAATGATTATTATTCCAACAATTTAATTCTGTAGTTTCTACTTACTTGAAGAGTAATTTAAAGTAAGTTTACTCGCCTCTGTCTAGCTATTGTTTTAAGTTGTTAGAACGGATTTTATAGAACGCGTGAAATATTCTAAGCCCTTTTATCAGTAAGTGGGGCAATGTAGGACAGAGAATGTCGATATTTCCCAGTATTCCAAATCAAAATCACTGGAGGGTTGGAAACACAGTCTTTACCGTAAGCGATGGGTACAGCTTGTAATGAAATGCAAAGGAATATGATCGAAGTTTTATTTGTGATTTTTTTACCAAAATCTTATCTACCAATTTAATTTTCGATAAATTTAAAATATATTTTTATGTTTCTTAAGTTTTAAGCCCTAGAACCTAGTACCTCAGGTTGGATATAATCGATGGAAAAAAGTGAGGAAAAAGGAAGCCTTAAGGACCCGATTTTGTTCATCTTTTCACTATTAGTCAAGATACTTGGGTGTTCGTTTCAGTACAGAGAGTTCAGTTTAGTATAGGAAGCCCAGAGCTTTAAATGTGTGCAAAGGAATTTCCGCAAATCAACTATTTCACGTGAAAATGGGGTTTTTTTTAAATTTATGCCCGCAAAAAGTAATTTTACAAAACTGTAAAAGATATAATTAAACAATGCTGCAGAATAGGATTTTTAACTTATAAGGAGGGGGGTAGCAATATTTCAATTAGAAATATGCATTATAAGATAAAGATATTACCCATGACGATGGTGTATAAGTTCTTTT